TGTTGTGTGTAATTGGTATTTGCTTCTTCAAGAAGTGTTTTATAAGTTGGATATTTTGTTAAGTAACTGTTTGGTGTGTTGAAAAGTTTAATGAGATTCTTATATGGAAAACGCTAATTAATCACAATAATTGTTTATATTTTGCTAAACCAAGATGATTTAAGTCGGCACTTTATAGTAAGGATAATCAAAATACAATAACCCAAAAAAAAAAAAAGGACACGTGATAACACATACCTTACACATGGGGGCGACTAAAACGGCACCGTCCCAAAAATCGGGCTTCTTTCTCGCTAAAAATAGAGCGACTGCTCCTCCCATGGATTCTCCCATTAGAAACCTCATCTTCCCTTTATTCTCGTCCCTCTCTTCACATTCACCATTGAGAAAACAATTTTAGCATTTTCAAATTGGGTAAAAAAAAAAACAATAACAAGAGAGATAATTGTTCGAAAATACCACAATATGTAGGTTTAGAATGGTCGTAAAAATACTAAATAATAATTCAGCTATTCTAAAACTAAATTTTGTGGTATATTTCGAAAATTTCTAATAATAGTGGTATATGTGTAGGTAAAACTTGTTTCTATAGTAAGGTAATTCTCATGGATTATTACCGCAAATTGAAGAGTAATGAGAAGAGACATCATGAACGAGACCATCAAAGTTTTTGACGTAACCATTTAATCCCCCGGATTTACCATGCCCTTCATAGTCCATTCCATAGACCGCAAAACCCGCTTTCACCAACCTCATTGCAGTGCCTGATGTTTGATCATCAATATAATTAACAAGAACTATAATAATAATGTATTAACTTTGCTACGAATATTGATCGTCAAATCATAATTTTAGGAGACAAAACTGTTCATGGTGATGCTTGTTTCCATGGCGTAGCCGTGACAGAGAAAGATCAAAGCCTTTGGTTCTTGTTGATTCTCTGGTTCCCATGAACACGTAAAAAGCTCCATTCCCCGTGAATTCGCAACATATTCCTAAACAAACAAAAATCATATTCTAGTATATTAACTAACTAATTGCATAATTCTTGGCTTTACGTACGGATCATGCATGTAAAAGAGAGCTACATTCATGATTGAAAAGAGAGAGAGAGATCAAGACATACCTCTTTGTACGTAACCATGATGTTCTCTTTTGTTATTTGTTTTTAAGAAATAGAACTAGATTTTGTTTCAATATATAGAAGACGAGAGTCACGACGAGATAAGAAATTTATTAAAAGAAAAGAAAATCAAAGATAATAAGAGGATAGAGATAGAAGTCAGATCAGATAAGAGAGAGAGGAATTTTTGTTGTTGTTTGGGTCAAA